ATATATATATATGCACATATTCAATCAATGTCCGACCAGATGTTGTCGTTTTTTCTTATTCATTGTTGTTGTTGTTGTTTTTTTCTGTTGAATGTTAGAAAGCAGAAGCAGTAAGAACATCAACGTTCTCAGGCTGCATGGGCGAGACCTTCCTGGATGGTAAACCTATCGGTCTGTGGAACTACAGACAGAGAGAGGGAGACTGTAAGGGTTGTGTTGTCAGGTATGCAAACAAGTCTCATTAAAAATAAGCTCCCGTGGATTGTAATTTTACATGTGACCATGTGTGACCTGTTAAACAACACACATTTACGTGCGTTTGTAGTCCTCAACGTTCTGTGGGCGAGGGGACGGTTCAGCTGGATGGTGAAGGCTACGCCGCAGTGGGAAGGCCCACCAGGTGGAACCCAAATGTTTCCACGATCACCTTCAAGTTCCGCACGTTCTCCTCCGAGGCTCTGCTCATGTACCTGGCCACAGAAGACTTGGTATGTGTGTGATTACAAACAAAATGTTGTAAAAGTCATAATTATTTCTGATGTAATTCTCAGAATTATCGTAGATTACTAACCGCCGCATAAAAACCTTATATTGTTTGCATTTTTATTAAATAAATGAATGTTTCATTGGATAACTAGTTAATACTTTAAATGAGAAAATACTTTTTTATTCCCTAAACAACAAAGACAGATGTTAAAAAAGTTGGCTTGGTTTCTGACGGGTCAAATTATACGTAGATTAGCATCAAGCAAATAAATCAATTAAGACGACTAAAGCTGTGATAATTGTGCTGAGAATTATAATTACAGTAAACTATAAAGCTGTATGGCTTTAAGTGAAACATTTATTAAACTAAATCAAACAAAAATAAACATGAGTGAACTCTAAATAAAACTGTGAACCATGTTTAAATGTTGGGTTGGTTAGAAGGGAATTTGAATTGGTTTAATCTGATCAAATTCTTCTGTTTAGATTATCCCATCCTTTCCTAATGGCACAAGAATTAGACTTGAAGAAAAACGGTTTCTAACATTTGTCACATTGGCTGCATAAAATCCAGACCCCTTTGCAAACCTGTAAAATATTCTTCATCTTCAAACACTGGCTCCTTCCGGTCCTTCCATCGTACTGTTGCTCTTTGCAGAAGGACTTCATGGCCCTGGAGCTGTTTGAGGGAAAGGTGAAGATGAATTTTGACCTGGGGTCAGGAGTCGGCACGGCCATATCCACTAACCGCCACAATGATGGACGCTGGAAAGCCCTCACCATGTCACGGAACAAGAAACATGGTAAAACCCAAGACCCTGGCATCATTATTTGTGCAGACTCACAGTTAAACAAGGAGAGGAAGTGTCTCCAAATGCATCCTCTGTTGTTGATTATGTCTCTTTGCATCCCTACAAAGCCACCGTGATCATTGTGGACATCGACAGCAGTGCAGAAGAAAGGATTACAGCCACTTCTCAGGGTTCAGCTACCGGTCTGAATCTCAGGGAAAACCAGAAAATTTATTTTGGTGGGCTGCCAACGATTGGAAACTACAGGTACACACTGAGACACAGCCAGTTTTAGATGCAGAGCCAGTCAATTTTAAATGTAGGAATGATTTTTAATTTTAAAGGTGAAAACTGTTTTATGCTCTACAGAGTCCGTCTGGTGACATTTGGATTAAAAAAAATCATCCTATGGTCACAGAATAAATAATGTGTGGTCACAAGCATTGCTGCAGCTATTTCCATTCAAACACTGTTGATTGTTCACATGAAGTTTGAATTAAATAAATTTTCTTATAATATAGAAATAAGTGACATACTTTAGTCATTATGTTAATCATGAAGTAATACATTTATTTTGAAGTTTCATACTAAAAACAATATCCTCTCTCTCTCACATTGTGCCTTGTCTACAGAAGGAGCCGGAGTTGTGTTGTTTCAGGAACACAGCTAGGTCATTCACTGCCATCTCCAACAATGTATTTCTCACAAACAGACATTCTACTCAAAATTATCTCATGGCCATGTGTTATTATCTTGTGGTCACGTGTTATTATCATGTGGTCACATGTTATTATCTTGTGGTCACGTGTTATTACCTTGTGGTCTTGTGTTATTACCTTGTGGTCACGTGTTATTATCTTGTGGTCACGTGTTATTATCTTGTGGTCACGTGTTATTATCTTGTGGTCACGTGTTATTATCATGCGACCACTTGTTATTATCTTGTGGTCACGTGTTATTATCTTGTAGTCACGTGTTATTATCTTGTGGTCACGTGTTATTATCATGCGGCCAAGTGTTATTATCTTGTGGTCACGTGT